TTAATCCTGCACATACCTTTCGTTCTCCTGTTACCAGTTTGAAACAAAAGGTTTCCAAGATATACTGGCAAAAAAAAAATGTATCACTTTCAATATGATCTCTTTCTATACTGTCAAGGGTCATCATGAGCTCAGCAATTTCCTAACAAGTGGATTCCCGGGAAAAATTAAAATTCCCAGTACTCTTCACCACAACCCAAGAAGCGAAAATTCGGAAAGCCAAAACATTCAACCTCTCCTTTCCTCCACAGACTAAGACCCAAAGCGACAAGATTTTAAACCCCTCATCCTACCGAGGAAGAAACGGCACATGCCAAATTCCAAGGTGATGAGCCATCCAGGTTGGAGACCATGTCTCGTGTTCGGTTTCACCGTTCGATCCAGAAGAGAGGCCAAGAGAGATGGAAAAGTTCTGTTGCAACCATGAAAACGACAGAGCGTAATCCTGTAGGAGCTTGTTAGAGGTTGCCAAACTTGATTTCACTTCAAAGCATTGAAGTGGCGCTAGCAGTAAAAACAAAATGAAGAAACACCCCAAAGAATCTGTGGAAATGGATGGGGGGGGGGAAGACAGATACAGAGAACATACCTCAGTTTTCACTCTCTTTCCTCAGAAAGTTAACGTTCCTTCAATGCTTCTCACTTGCCTTCCCTCTTATCCACACATGGTTCCTTCCCTGCAGAAAATCTCTCTTTCTCTCTTTTTTTTAAAAGCTCACGCTCCTCCCATGTATATTTTACATAATGAGGGCTCAGAGATTACAAAGCAACTTTTTATGTCCTTCTTCCGACAGCTCAGCTCCAAGGTAACAAGTTCAGAGGGAGGAGGCCAAAGGGGGTGTGCCGGCTGTAGGTGGACCTGATGCTCACTCTCTCTCTCACACACTCTCTCTTTTTCCCCTGCTCTTTTTCTTTCTTCCTTTCTTTCTACAAAGGGAAACTTGTTCTTCAGGTCAGAAACATAAGGGAAACTGCATAGGGCTAAACTTCAATGCCACATCCCCCCCCCCCCAAGCTGGCAAGGCTAAAAAAGACATGTTCGGTTAATGCACAGGCTGCAGAGCTTAGGGCTGCCAGGTTAACCATTAGCAAGCTCAACAGAATGTAACACGAAGGGGTTATATCTTGTGCTGGCACGCTTGTTTTGCTCAGCGCAGGACGGCACAATTTGCTTACAGGCTAGGGAAGGAGGAGGTGCAGCCCTCCAAGCATTTTAAATTACAACCCTTGTCACTCGGTTGGCATGGTCAACAGCTACAGGTGGCAGCAGTTGGGGCATGACAACGTTTGGGGGAGGATTCACACAGATTTCCCATGCTCCAGCATGGATAGGTCCCAGTTTTTACCTCCAGTACTATCTCTGCTTCAGTGACAGAGTACGTGCTAAATTAAAATAGGTAGGGTCCTCTCTTACTTATCTAGTAAGCATGAATACCTCTGGTTTAGATCAGAGCCTCTTTATGCAGGCATGGAGGCTGGACTTTAGTTTGTTTTATATTTTTCCCTAATAGATTTTTTTTTGCAACATACAGCTGTATGTAAATACAACCCTTTAAAGAACTAGCAGTCTCTAACTAGTGAGAAATAAAATAATAAACAATGTAAACTGAATACTTAAAGGACAGAAGCGAAACTGTATGCCAAGTGAAACAAGTCAATTAAATTTAAATCTCTCCCAATAAGTGTTTATTTGTAAAAACATTTCCCTTCCCCTCAAGAGTCTAAAAATAGTAGAGGAGCAGGAAAATGGTATCAGTGCATCTTCTTTCTATTATTCCCATTGTGAATACATTTATAAAAAGGAAAGGCTAGAGAGAGAGTGGTTCAGATTTCTCTGATTTATACACAGTGGTCTCTATTAGAATCCCCACATGCTTCTTAGGAAAGACAGCCAGAGTTCTGTTGCACTTAATTGCCATGTAGGTTAGCCAGGAGACTTTAAGAAGGCCAATGAGACAGTACGATTTTGTAAATAAGGCAAGTGTTTTGCCAATTTTCGTAATTATACAAGGAAAAATAATTAGTCTCCAAAAACTTGAGCAAAAGGGAAAGAGCATGATATTGACATTATACTGGTAATGTCTTATACTTCAGATACTTTCTATATATATAAATCACAGAATGGATCAAAGGACATGGGACCCAGCTGCAACTGGCACAGAACGCAACTGGAGGCAGAATCTGCCTTTGGCCTGGGAAATTATCAATACAATGCACAACAAGATTGTGAGAAAGTACACAGGCATGGAGTGGGAAATTCTGTGGAAGATAGATAGGGGAGGAAGCCTTTACTTTTAAAAAACAAGTAAAAGTATGCTAACAAACCAACAACGCAGACAAATCTAACTGTGACTAGTTTAGCTTTCTCATGAACACATGGCCCCATCCAAACACAATGGACACTGAGCTTCTACTTCGGCAAGTAGGTGAAATTTACATTCCAGACACAGTCACCTACCCATTAGTACTCATTACTAGTGAGCAGACAATACAGTTTTATGCTAAACAAATTGCCCAGTGGCTGAAACAGTTGACATGCACCTCCAGAAATCACAACTTGATTCATTGCTTGGTAGGACAGAGAGATATGCCCCTTTCTTGGAGCAGCAATGAATAAATTGCTCATTAATCAGTACTCTTCTCACACTAAGGATCCCCCCACCTCCCCCCCAAAAAGGCTGCACAATTATAGCTCTGCCCTGAGTAAGCATCCTGCAGACCGGGGCCGTAAATCATCTTCTTTAGATGACAGAAGGCAGGAGCTGCTTTAACAGCCAGGAAGGTCTAGTCCGAGAAAGGGCATGCAGAAGGGGGCTCCAATTAAAAGAGATAAATTGCTTACAACCAAATATATTGCAAACAGCAGGCATGAGTTATGATCCCCTGAAGGAAGGAATTTCCTGATTCTTCTGAGGTTCATTCTTCAACAGTTCTAAGAAGCCAAGATTACCTTCACCCAATTTCTGTTTGAATTTACAGATTTCTCCTGTCCCTGATCCAATGCCATAACCGAGATGTCAAGCAAAAACAAAATTAAAAAATAAAGACAACAAAAACATTGTGGCACCTTAAAGATTGTTATATTTTAATATGTACTTTCATGTCTAGGAAGCAGACTTGTCCACAAAAAGCTCAAATTAAAAAAATATAGCAATTTGCTTTTAAGTTGCCACAATATTTTTCCCCTTTGTTTTTGCCCAATAATGCTTAACATGCACATCCAGGGCTGCCCAACAGCAGAATCTAGAAAACTTATTTTTGAACTACAGCTTCCAGAATGCTCCAGCTAGCTATGGCCTATGCTGGTTGGAGGGACTTGTAACTCAATAAATTAATTTTCCCCAAGTTTTGAGTGACTACCTGGCTCCCTAACATGGCCCACAACAGAGGCCTGCCTTTTTATAAACTCCTGCCAGTTCCTGAAGCTACTTTGCCATTGCCTAAACTGCTATAATTACCTGAAGGAAAAGCAGATTTCAGGGACAAAATATTAACTGGAAAGTAACCTAAACTTCTACAGTCCTATAGAAATTAATCTACACTAAAATGACGGGTGGAATACTCAGCGTGGTATAGTGGACAGAGTGACAGATTACAACAGGAGGCCTGGGTTCAAATCCCCATTCAGCTGTGGAAGTTCACTAGGAGATTGTCTATGGTTCTATTGCATTAATTTTTTTGATTGTGTCTTTTATTGTGAACTGCCCAGAGTAGTGCTGTGGGACTAATGGGTGAAGTATATTACATTGAAATAATAAATAAATAACATATATGGGAAAGTGGAACTGGACAAACCTCTTCTTAAATATCTCACTTGCCTTGAAAGCCCTGTTAGGGTCATTATAAGTCGGTTCCGACTTGATGGCACAGAGCAACAACGAAAGGATGAATAGAGGTAACATAAAAGTTATTAGAGTTAGCAATAAACTTGAGCTAAGCAGGGTTTCATGAAGGTTAACCATCACTGTTCAAAGACTCGGTTCAAAGACCTTTAAGATGCAGTGTGAAATACATCATTTCTTGTTCTGAATTCAATCAAACAAATAGCACAAAGCAACTCATGCACCAGAAATGGACTTGGCCTTCCTTCGCCCTGCCTCTTATTCCCACCACCAAGGTCACCACAGAACATTCCCTTCAGCAACTGACTTTGCCAGATTACAGGAGATCCTCTACTGGCTTATTAGTATGGGTTGCCAGTATCACAGATGGGCAGATATACTTTTAATGGATACCCACAGATGTTTGCAATTTTCCTTTTGAAGCAAATGCCCAAGATTGAGGGAGGAATCACACTTGATGGCAATTTTGCACTCACTTATAGATGGCTCCGATAGAATACTGCTTGGCCTCATGGACGCCAGTTTGGAGTCGCATTTAAAATCCCACCACCACCACCCCCAAGAGATGCTGTTGTGTTGCTGAAAAGCTTCCTCCTTGGGAAGGACAAATGTTGTAAATCTGTTATTCTTGGGATAGCCTCTAATTCATAGCATGCTACATTTGTTGGAATTCCAATCAAGGTGCAGGGCCTCCTTATTCTTCTTAGCTAGGCAACCTAATTTTAAGTTTCTCAAGTATAGACCTTTTTTTTTTTTGAAGTTTCCTAAAACACCAGCCTGCCTGCAACACTTTGAACTATTTCCCTGAAGTCACTCTGGAATAATTGAGATTGAAATCTCAGCCTAAACATGCTTAGGACCCAGCTGTAAGATGAGGCGGCCAATTTGAGAAAAAGGGAAGTTAAAAATAGACTGTGTTTATTCTTAATTTGAATTCTTCATACCCATGGGATAATATGGAATAAACAAGCTATCAATGTAATTAAAACAATGAAGACACGTTGGTAAAAAATAAAACACACTTAATTTTTTTAATGGTCTATAACTAACAATCAAACTGTAGGGAAATTGTAAGGATGAGAAAAATAAGCTAGTACACTTATAAGGGAAAAAGCCCCCCCCCTAAACAATTTATTTTATTTATTTAAAATATTTTACCCTGTCTTTCTCCTTTAAAGGACCCATGGCAACTATTGCCATCAAGTTTCAGCTTCCACTGGAAATCTTCCATTAAATGCTTCATGCTTGTTGCCTTCACACCATGGAGCACAACATCCTTTGGTTAAAAAGAAAAAAAGAATCTATTACTACAAATCCATTTAAAAAGATAACTTCTTCCCTTTTATATCACAAATATAAATTAAACATGTCATTAATTTCTACTCAAAAATATTAGGTGATTTTACCCCTAATATGCTGTTAATGAAGATTCCTCCTCTTCAATGACGGCAAACTTCAAATCATCATTTACTTCAAGAAATTCCTTCATGTCCATTAGTTCTGCTTCAAGAAAGTCGCACACAAGCTTGGGTTATTATCTGGATCAAGCCTACCACCTACTGTTCTTATGGAGAAGGCACCTTGAAGGAGCCACTCTATATTTTCTTTCCAGGACCAAAAGAAACCCAGGCCAGCAACAGCGGTTACAGAGAATCTGTAATTAAAGCTGAAAGCCACCCTGGAAAGGAGTGAGTGAGGCCATCTTTCCCCGTTTGTGAAATCAAGCTTTGAAGGAACCCTGTGCTTAAATCGTAAAGACCTATAAAGTAAGCTAATCTGCAAAATCCTGGAGGCGAGAAAAGGTGATGGTGCAATACTGAGGCAATCATTTAGTTCTCTCTAAGGTCTTTTGAGTCCACTTAGTCTAAGGAGGAATTGCACAACATTCTCCATGCAGGCAAGAAATCATTTGAACTACAGTACTGTAGATGTTGTGGCTGCCTTGGAGAGTCTAAAACAAGGGTCAAATTTAAAACCTGCTCCTCCTCTAGTTCTATAGTTTAGCACCAAACTGCATCAATCCACGTTTCTTCTCTTTTGGGACCCATGCCTAAATAAGCAAACTCACTGAAATCAAGGGGGCTTATGAGTCATGATGAAAATAAGTTCCCTGATTTCAATGGCAAACTCAAAGTATAGTGATATCTGGGCATTAGAGAGAGATTGTCTTTAGTAGTGGTTTCAGACTTGTGGTCTCCAAACTATTTTTCTTCTTCTAAGTCTTTGGATTTAAATGTTAGTACAGTACTGTACATTGATACTCAATATAATAAGCATATCTCCACTTTTCAGGAAAACAGGGAGAAAGTGAACAGCAAATGTGTATTAAATTTAAAAAAACAAAACAGAAATGAAAGGTGAAACATTCTGATAGAATACACCAGCATCAGTCATAGGAATAGAATGAGTCACTATGCTTATATAAGGAGAGATGAGACACTTAATTTTAATTCTGAGCTCCTGTTATACAGGCTGCACAAAAGAGAGGCTACAATCAATACATGATACATGTAACTGGTAGGGTGGCCAGCGATTAAACAGAAGTAAATCTAATCAGAGCAATAAAAACCAATGGCTAAAAAACACCAATGCCATCTTGTAGGGATATGCATGAGTTAAATGGCTGCTGGTCTGAAAATTCTTTTTACACCTGACATGTCTGTTTCATGGGAAACTCAAAGATCTCAGTGCAGTACAGAAGGGGGGCTAACATTGTCTGCGCCGCCTGCAGCAGCTTGTTAAATGATTCCAACAGTCGTATTGTGGCTCGTATTATAAAGGGGAAACTGGAAGACCCTCAACTCATAATGTATAAGGAACATCTGGCAGAAACCCCACACAGTTGAATGGGTTTAAGGCCATGGTCAGTATTGCAACAAGCCTGCTGGTAGACCAGATGTCTGTTCTGGCAACTGAACCAGTTCTTCACTGACAAAAGCTCAAGAAAGCAAACAGCTGAAACTGAACATCAGCGTGAGGGATGAGTTAAAACAAGCAGAGCTGTTCATTAATGGAGTCTAAACAACAGGTGCTGCAAATTAAATCAAGTGTCTCATCTCTCTCTTGCATAAGCAAAGTGATTCACTCCATCTGTATGACTGAAACTGGGGTATTTGCATCACCGTGTTTCATCCTTGGCATTATCTTACTCTTTTAACTTTCAGACGTACCTTTGTTGGTCATTGTTTTCTGCTGTTGACTTTGTGGTCCTGATGGCCAACTGAAAAGAGGCCTATGTAGATGGACAAAAGGATTGCAAGAAAGAAAATACAGCACTGATGAATAATAGCCATAATTGAAAGCTTTTCCCCAAAAATTTTTTAAAAATCTATCTCTGTACCATTCATTTATTGGGTGAACTAAATGGAAACACATCAGCAGCAGCCATAACTGTATTCTGGGTAAAGCTGTAGCACCAAGCATCAGACAGAAGAAATTCCTATAAGCACCTTCATCCCATAAAGTCTGGAGCTCAAGTGAAACTTTTCTACCTTGGGCAAGACAACTCCTACCAGGACCCACCCCCATGTCACAGAGTGTCAAGTTTTAAAAGTGGTAAACCTTCAGCACTCCTGATATTTTTTGGACCTCACGCCCCAAACCCCAAGCCTCTATTGTCAATGACAAAGGACAGTGGGAGTTATAGTCCAAAATTATCTGGGGTGCCAAGAGTCCACCATCCCTGCTTGAAACCTACAACACCTTTTTCTTCCCATTTAATAAACTTGTCCTCTTGTAGCATGCAGACCAGACACGCTACAAAGCACTACAGATAAAATAAGCTGAAAATTCCAGGTTTTGAGTTCAGCCACTTAGCTATAGCTAGGAAGTATCACTGAAACATAATGTTCACTGATATATTTATTGCATATGTGGATGTACTAAACTCATTTCATCAGCTTTCACTCTGCCTTAGTGAGATTTGTGGCTATTTCCCCCTCCAGGTGGTGGTAGGGAGGATTTATTTTTTTAAGCATCTTACACTTAGGAAACTAATGGGTTGCTCATTGCTCGCAGTTGCATTGACATCAAAAAATGGTCAGACAGGCTGTTTTGTTAAAACGTTTCCCTGGAGAGACAGATGAATCACTGGCAGCTTGATTTAGTGGGCTCTTTCTAGCGGAACACAACAATTCGAGTCTCAGGGGTAGAAGTGAACCAAGGATTAAGATGCAAGTTAGGGGGGTCGTTTGTTAGAAACCCAGCGATTTGCAAAATGACAAGGCCGACATGTAATCATCATGTCATCTCTGCCTCTCAGCTGTGAGTCATACATGAAGACAAATGATTCCAGATGGATGCGGATTTTAGCCATAAAACAAAGTAAATTCTGCCAAGTCTTTAAGAAAAATAAAATAAAAAAATCCATAGACTTTACCCTATATTAGGATTTGCACTTTGTTTTTTGTTTTTAAAAAGAATCTCTAATGCTTTCTAATGCAAATGATCATAATCCAGCTGTAACTTGCAACTAATATTGCAACTTTACACTGCTTTTGAATTGAAATCATCATCACAGTACTATAAGCAGTTGCAGATCTCAGAAATAACACCATCAGAGCTACAAAAAATAGCAATATTATGAACAGATGCTCATGTCTGCTCAGAAATAACCCCCCTTAAATTTAGGAATGGCTTTCTCCTGTGTAAGTATGTTCAGACATTCAGCCTACATCTGTAGTGGGACATGCCCAGTATGTCCACTGGAACCAGATGTAATAATAATAATAATAATAATAATACCTCTCCTCCTTTCTTACACCAGCCAAATTCAGTAAACATGGCTAATTCAAGCACGTTGGACCTCCCAAATGTACAAGTATTAAAAATAAGGACTCAGTGGGAAAAAGGGTGAAACCCCTAATTTAGCATGCATGTGACTGAATGCTCAGGGATTTCAAAACTAGATTTGTTGTAGAGAAAAAATCCAAACATAAAGCTCAGCATGGATAAATTAAGCTTGTTTTTAGTTCCTCTCATATTCGCATTTATTAAAACTCAAGTCCTTTCCACCCTAAATAGGGAGAGGTTTGGAAATGTTGTTCATAATTATCCCAAAAGCAATATGTTTAACCATCCCATCCATTCCTGTATCCCCAAATTATAGGCAGAGTTGGCATTGCCTGACTGAGGTTTTTGGAGTTTGGATGATAATCAAATGTTCAAGTTTCTTTCCAGGATTTTGCTCAGGTGTGGTTGGCACCCTCTCATCTAGGAAAACCTGTCTTCCCCTCCTCTTGGAAATGTGGGGTTTTTTGTTTCCTCAGAGAGGAAAATGGCCAAAAACAGGCACTCTTCACAAACTCAGAACAACACAGAACAATTTTGTACGATGGGCCCAGTACATTTTGGGCATGAAAATGACGTGCTAATTGCTACTCCCTTCGAGGCCAAAAATGGCTAGAGGAGAAGTTATTGGCTAAACGACACAAACTTATAAATTATAAAATGCCCTGGGAGCTGCCACATAGGTCCAGTTTATATGCCATGGGTAACATTGGGTCCTTTTTAAGGAGAAATGTGGAGTTCAGTAAATAAATAAATAAATCTATTTGATGCAAGAGTGACTGCTTTTTCTGACTACTGTATTTAGTTTACCTCAGAAGACCTCCCAGCCTGTTTTTTTTAATTGGCATTAAAAAAAAAAAAGCTGGTGACTTCAGGCTGCTTTCAATTAATGTAAACCTCTGGTGTTCATCTTTTATTTTATTTTGTAGATCGTTATTTTTCTTAATGGCATCTTATATTTGAGTATTTCCCATTTCTTTCTTTCTTTCTTTCTTTCTTTCTTTCTTTCCTTCCTTGGGCAGCCTTTGCCTTGAAAAGGGGGCACAGAAACTGTTCCTATGAATGAATTTAGAGCAGTCGCAATGGTTTTATTGAAAGGGATAAATAAACAAATGTTTCTGGGCCGTTTCCTGGCTTGTTTTAAAGGGTTACATTTTATTATTGCTGGCTTTATTGTATCGACTTTTTGTGGTAAACAGCTTTGAGGTTGCTTTGCTTTGCATGAAAAGCAAACAAGGCTTTAGAGAAATAAAATGAAATAAACAAACGCCTCAGACTGAAGTAACATCCCCTCAAGTAACCACTGAGGAAGAGGCTTTTCCTTTGACAGGGACTAAACACAAGTAACTCAGTGAATTCGGCGGACGTTACTCCTCGAAAACTAATAGTTACTTTTCTTATGGGTATTTGTAATTGTTGCAACTACCAGAACTACAATAACGCGTTAATGGAAAGAGGAGAAGGGCGGCCTGGTCTCCCCGCGTTACTATGGCGACAGTTTGCGCGCCAAAAACCCCGCCGGTTGTCACGGGGAGAGGCCACGCTTTAGGGACGCGCCCCCTCCCACTCTGACGTCAGGCACGAGTACTGTACTGGCGCGTGGGATTGTGGGTATATTAGCAGCCGGAGCGGGGTGGGAGACATGCTTACATAGATCTATAAACTAGTAGAGGAGCACAACAGTATATGTGGACAAAAAATGTTGACCGCCAAATATGTTTCCTTATTCTCCCCTCCCCTTCTATGCACGTGAAAACGCGAAAAGGCTAGATTTTGGAGAAGTAATTATTTTTGGTAGAGAACGCAACTTCTCCCCAGGAAAACACGCGTTGGGCTTTCGTCCTGGGCTTAGACGGCCGCCCTCTGTGGGCGCATGCGTGGAAAGGCTCCCTTCCGCCTCCAGAAAGAGGGCGGCCTTTTTTTTTCTTTCTTTGGTAGTTCAGACGCGGGACCGGACTTCTACTTTTTTTCATAGCTCTATGCGCGCCTTGCGTCGGCGGTGCGCCGGTGACGTCAAAGGCCCGCGCCTCCGCCCAGCTGCGGAAGGGAGCAGGCGTGCTTGCGGGCGGCGGAGCGATGCGGCGGGGCTTCGAAGCCGGCCCGGCCCGCCTCGTCCGGTCGGCCCAGAAAGACGAGCTCTACCGGGGGGCCCTGAGGAGCGGGGCCGGGGCTGCTCTGGGGAGCCTAGCCGGTGAGGAGCCCGAGGCTTGTCCCGTTCCCCTCCTTAGTTACTTTGGAGAAGTTACTTTCTTGGACTACCAGCTCCCCCAGGAGGGCCTGGTTGAGCGCTGCCCTTCGCCCTCCCACCCCCCCACCCCCCAATGTCGGTTCATGAC